GGAAGGGGCTGGTGGTGGTGCGGGGGTCAGACTAAGAAGTGGGTTTAGAAGCAGAACACCTATCATCTAAATGAACTTCAAGGGCCAAATGGCCTAACCTTGCTCCTAAGTCCCAAGTTTCCCTGAAAGATGGGAAAATTGACAAATACAATGCTAAAGTACAAATTTATTTTCATATATTTAATCATAGACAAATGGTTAAAGAGCATTGCATCTCTTTTTTCATAATAAGAACATTTTAAGACAATTCATAATATATGCTACAATTATTAAACTTGGTCTGTAATTAGTTCATAATTACCACTATCAGGATTTTCACCTTTCCATTGCCTTGTCTGATTGCTCTGGTTTCTGGATGGGTCCAGAATGAGTAACAGCTGGAGATGCAAGGGTGCTATCAAAGAAGTCTGAAAAGGACAGAGAAAAAAAAAGGTAAAAAATTACAAGTTATAAACTTAAAATCATGGAACAATTCATTTTTATCACTTATAATGTGTTTTATCTTTCTTTCTGTTCTGACATCAATATTAGAGGGTGGACGGACCATCTATTTAAGGGTCCATCTGCATCACTAAAGAACTGGAAACACCTTGTTGAGATATTTGTAACATTGATAGCCACAGGTGAGGTGCCAAAAGTCTGGAGTGTGGCTAATGTGGTGCCACTACTTAAGAAAGGTGGTAAGGAAAAGCCAGGGAACAATCTACTGGTAAGCCTAATATCGGTGGTGGGCAAGTTGTTGAAGGGGATCCTGAGGGACAGGATTTACATGTATTTGGAAATTCAAGGACTAATTCAATGTGGGTTTGTGCATGGGAAATCATGTCTCACTAACTTGATTGAGTTCTTTGAAGAAGTAACAAAAAGGATCGATGAGAGCAGAGCGGTGGGCATAAGCTATGTGGACTTCAGTAAGGCATTCAACAAGGTTCTGCACGATAGACTTGTTAGCAAGGTTAGATCACGTGAAATACAGGCAGAACTAGCTATTTGGATACAGAACTGGTTCGAAGGTAGTAGACAGGGTGGTGATGGAGGGCTGCTTTTCAGACTGGAGGCCTGTGACCAATGGTGCGCACAAGGATAAGCGCTGGGTCCATTGCTTTTCGTTATTTATGTATATGATACAGATGTGAACATAGGAGGTATGGTTAGTAAGTTTGCAGGTGACACCAAAATTGGAGATGTAGTGGACAGCAAAGAAGTTTACCTCAGTGTACAATGGGACCTTGATCAAGATGGTCCAATGGACCGAGGATTGGCAGATAGACAATAATTTAGATAAATGTGACGTGCTGCATTTTGGAAAGGCAAATCAGGGCAGGACTTATACACTTAATGGTAAGGTCCTGGGGAGTGTTGCTGAATAAAGAGACCTGTGGTGCAGGTTTATAGTTCCTCGAAAGTGGAGTCATAGGTAGACGGGATGGTGAAGAAGGTGTTTGGTAAGCTTGCCTTTATTGGTCACTGCATTGAGTATAGGAGTTAGGAGATCCTGCAGCTGTACAGGAATTGGTTAGGCCACTTCTGGAATATAGCATTCAATTCTGGTCTCCCTGCTATAGGAAGGATGTTGTGAAACTTGAAAGGGTTCAGAAAAGATTTACAAGGATTTTGCTGGGGTTGTAGGGTTTGAGCTATAGGAGAGGCTGAATAGACTGGGGCTATTTTCCCTGGAGCATCAGAGACTGAGGGGTGGCCTCATAGACGTTTATAAAATTATGAGGGGCATGGATAAGGTGAATAGCCAAGGTCTTTTCCTTGAGGTGGGGAAGTCCAGAACTAGCCGGCATAGGTTTAAAGCGAGAGGGAAAAGATTTAAAAGGGACCTGAGGGGCAACATTTTCACACATAGGATGGTGCGTGCATGGAATATGCTGCCAGAGGAAGTGGTGGAGGCTGGTACAATTACAACATTTAAAAGGGTTTAGATGGGCCAAATGCTGGCAAATGAGACTAGCTTAATTTAGACTATCTCATCGGCATGGACGAGTTGGACCGAAGGGTCTATTTCTATGACTCTGTGACCTTAAACTAGAGTTTTCAGATTGGGCATACCTATTGTAGGGCAGGAGTTCTGTGCACACTGCAAATACCCTCCTCTCTTCTGTAATTTTGAATGTACTCTCAGCTCCGGAGTCATTTATATGCAAACACCATAGCAGAGATGGGGCTGGATTTGCTGCAGCATGCCTTAGACACCGATTGTAATTAGGGTGAAGACAAAAACATTCAGCTGTGTGTAGAAAGAAAATCTGTTTTCCCTCATTTTCACCTTTGCTTACATAATTTTGAATGGAAAGTTTGGGAATGTTTGTATAGGTCTATCGTCTTTTGAAGCCTCAAGTTTAACTCCATTGACCTTCAAAAGCTGATGTCCAACATTTAAATATGGAATAGATGGGAAGGACAACAGTTAATTTAGCCTCATTAAATCATTACTTGATATGGCTGGATTTGTGTCATTTTGATAGGGTTTGAATCTATTAAAAGAAGGACCGATAGGAGAAACAGGCAGGATGTAGTGGGGAGTAATCACGAGCACATTCCATAACTCCTCCACCACAAATCCAAAAGAAACTTTCCTCCTTTGCAAGGAGATAAGCAGGATCTCTTTGTTTTTCAGTTGGTTCCAGGATGTTTGGCAATGATGGCTTGAATCAAGTCAACTAATTATGCCAGATGGAACAATCCAAAACAATTCCAGACAGACCCATTGTATTTCAGGACATTACCAAAGAATATCAACCTAGCCTGATTCAATGAAAAATTGATTAAATTTAAAAAAAAAAAAATCAAATTCTTCTTATTCTGCTTCAGAGATCCTAACAACTTAAATTTTCCAGGCTTTCCAAGATTGCTTAGTTGTTAAACCCCATCAATTCTGCAACTTACACACCGCTGAACTTATGATGGACCCTGCAAATTTACACCTAAGTTCTCTATTAGAAAATGCTGTACACAGATGCTGTCAGACCTGCTGAGTTTCTCCAGCACTTGCTGTTAATTCAGATCTCATGCATCCACAGTAACTTGCTTTTATCAGCAAGTTAGAGTTTGGGAATTCTGTGGTGAGTAACTCACTTCCCAACTCACAGAGCCTGTCCATCATCTATAAGGCACAAGAGAGGAGCCTGATGGAATTTTCTCCACTTACTTTGATGAGTAGGCTTTAACAGCACTTGAGAAGCTCAATTCTATCCTGGATGAAGCAGTCTGAGTGATTGGCAACCATGCGCCATATACAAAATGCACTGCAATAACCTGCCAAGCCTCTTTCACAATTACCTTTAAAAGCTGTGATCTCTACCAGGTAGGAGAAAAGGGAAGTAATTGCATAGGAATGTCAGCACATACTAATTTGCCTGTAAACTATGCAATTCTGACTTTGAACAATATTGCCATTCCTTCATTGTCACTGGATCAAAACCCTGGAACTCCTTTCTTAACAGCATTATGGGCATTTCAAGACCAGATGGTCAATGTCGTCTTTTCAGGGGAAATTGATCTTGCCAGCAATGAAAAGAAATGCCTATAACCCATGAAAGAACAAAATTATTACTCTCAGATGTTTCGCTGTATAACTCATAGTATGTTGGAGATTCATTGTGTTGTAACAATGAAGGTGGGGATCAAGTATAAAGGGAAATATGACCACAAGTGCCTTACAGGAAATTTAATACTAAAGAAGGTGCCATTATACGTATAGAGAGAAAGGTCATAACAAGGACTAAGACAAAGAGGAATGAAGCGTGGAAGAATCAATGACGGCAAAAAAAGAGCATCATGTAAAATGAACTTTCAGAAGTTCAAGAGAAGGTGTATGATGATCAAGTGGTTGGGAAGGATCCGTGCCAAAACATCAAAAGTGAGCTCAGACATGATAAATAGGATTAGTTGGGCTGGAGAGGTGAGAGGTTGCATTATTGGGGGCAAATTTTATGACTCTGGCTCAGTGGTGTGGAATTGGATATTTTTCCAACTCCCTTCTTGTACTCGCGTGTTTTACCCACACAATCATTTTAATAAAGGTTTTATGTATATGTAATTATTATAGCTTCAGTTACATATGTTCCACAGAATAAACAGCTATTTAATTGTTCCAGTTTGACTGGTTTTGTCAATAATAATCACCACTCCTTGCTCTTGACCATCTGGAAGAACTCTAGAATAAGTTAAAAAAGCAATAAAGCTGTTGAACCTCAATTAACAGATCACCTATGACTAAAGTGAACTGCAGCTTAAAAATGCCATTATAGGTCCAAGAATTACAAAACTAACATTTTTAAAAAAAGAGTAGAACTCAATCCCACATAATGTTCTAGGACAGTGTGATCAACCAAAGGTTAGGAAAACATGGGAATCAGGAGAAGCAGTAGGCCATTTGGCTTTTCAAGTCTGCTTGACCATTCAATAGGCTGATCTGGTTGTGGTTCCAACTCTGTTTTCCTGTCTGCCGACCTTAACCATAGACTCCCTTGTCTATTAAAAATCTATATCACTCTGTCTTCAACAAATTCAATGGCCTAGCTTCCACTGCTTTCTGACAAAGAGAATTCCACAGACCAGTGATCCTCAGAAAAAAATCCTACTCATCCAGGTCTTAAGAGAGACCTCTTATTCTTAACACTATCCCCTCATTCTAATCTTTCTCTAATTGAAGAAATATCCTCAATGTATCCAGTACATCTAGTACCCTCAGGATCTTACAGTTTTTAGGAAAAATCACCTCTCATTCTTCTAAACTCAAATGGCTACAGGCCCAATCTCTCAAACTTTCATTACAAGGTAAACTCATCATCCCTGGAATGATTAAAGGGAATCTTCTCTTGACTGCTTCTAATGCAATAATTTCATATTTCAAATTAGATCAAAGTTGTACACACCACTCCAAATGTGGCTTCACCAAAAGCCTGTGATACTCTTTACTTCTATATTTCATTCTATTCAGATTTATTTTGAACTCAATATATTAGATGAATTTTGAAGATTTCACACTGGGCTTGAAATATTAACTCTGCTTTTCTCTCCACATAAGTTTGTCCAACATTTGTTTTTATTTCAGATCTTCAGCATCTTCACTACTTTGCTTTTACTTATACGCCATAAACAACAACAATAAACAACAACATTCTTTTTTCTTTCCTAAACCATATTATTCATGATCTGAGAATTTCCAAAGTTTGTGGCTTTATTTTAGACAGCAACTGCAACATTCTGCCTTCCCACAAACAGACTTGTACAAGATTATGACACAGCTCGATAAGGCAGACAAAGAAAATCTGTTTCCATTGGCAGGTACAGTAGTACAAGAACACAGGGAACAGCATATCATGAGTGCAGGGAAAGCAACTCATGGGCAAGTTGGAGTAGTGAATATTTCTAGTTCTTTAAGTAAAAGTGAGAT